AAAAAAAAAAAAAAAAAAGAGAGAAAATGAAAAAGGGAGAGAAACACCTCATAAGCATTTTGCAATTTCTGGAAAGCTTCAGCAGCCTTCTCATTGCCCATATTTTTATCAGGATGTACAAGCATTGCCTGACAAGTAAAAATTGTACAAGTTAATCAAATAAAATAAAATAAAATAAAATGTAGTAGCCTTAAGTTACCATGTCTACATTTTTCAAAGTGTTAAACAACATAATGAGTAAATAATCTTGAACTTCTACGCCAAATTAGTTATACAACACTTAAGAAAACAGATTTATTGTATGTTCGGACATTCACCTTTTTCCTGTACTCCCGCTTGATAACCAACAAATCTATATTTTCAAACCGGGCCAAGCCCAGTGCATCATAATGATCCTTGCAATTCAGTAATCTGACAATTTCATCTTCAGATGTGATTTCCGAATCAGATCCGCTCGTGGAGGGTATACCTGGGCCACGATCAGTCCGTAGACCAGCTGCACCAGTACCAGGTGAAAAATGCTCATCAGGTGAAAAGGACGGTTGACCTTGAAACCCGGCGGCTTGTTCTGAGCAGCCGTTAGCCGTTCTTTGGTCGTTGGCAATATTCCTCAGCACATATAACAGAGCATCACTCGATATAAATGATAAGTTCAAGCCAAGAAGTAAGCCGAGCCACCCAACATAATTCCAAACACAATAAATGGAGTATGCACTTGCAATAAGGAGTCCAATCCGGTCATGATTCGTAATCAATGCCAATCCTGCGTATCACAAACAATTAATTTCAGGGTGAATGTCAATCACAATTCAAAAGTTACCACATCGGCATATGAGAAAGGGAAAAAAAAAAAAAAAAAAAAAAAAAAAAACAAACAAAACTTGCAACAGCATTTGGATTATTAAATTCCAAGACAGTCACCTCCGAGCACGATAATGAGTCCAGTAGGCCATAAGCTCCCATAAAACCATACGAGAAATATTGCGAAAATACCACTGACTAAAGCTGCAAATGTAATACCAAGAAATAGTCCACCGGCAGCAATTACAGCCTGGATTATCCATAATATTTAGATGAGAAGCACAAAATCTAGGTACCGTATGCCTAGCAAATCTGATAAATTCTGAAAGATGAGTTGTTATAAAATCACTTATGAAATGACATACCAGTGCAACTAGAGACTTTCCGAGTCCGATTATGGCAATCACTGAGAGAACAGTACACCATATAATCGAGAAAAATGATGTTGTCCCCATGCGCAAAAAGGAATCAATGCCCCTCAAAGTACAATCCAACCAAACCATAAAGACAAGCAGCATTAAGTTCCCAAAATGCACGATCCACTGGAATATGATAGGCTGCACATGCTGAATCTTCATTCGGATATGATCACATGCCTTTAGCACTTTAGACTTGAGCGTAACAAAAGTAGGTTTATGCCTCTCTATCCAGTCAGCAGATGATCTAGCCACAGAAAGTGCTATATTTCGTAAGAATTTAAAAACAAGTGTTTCAGGGTGCACTACGTGCTGCCTCCCTTCTTCATTATGCAGCCCATTTGAAAAACTTTCCGAATTATTCGCGTTCTCGGAACTAAAGTGCTGGGGCAAGTCACTTCCATCTTTGGTGCCCAAACCTTCAGCTGTAGACATATCAGTCTTGTCTGCTTCAATGTTATCATTCAAAGGCACCTCATGACCAGAAGCTGCCTCGTTTACAGCTTTTTTCACTTTCCATTTTGTCTTTTTTGTCTTTTTCTTGCTGTTTTTCGCATCTTGCACATCAATGCCTTCAACACCCTTTGTGGAGGAGTGGATGCCATTTGGAAGTTCTTCACCAGAGCCTACATTTTGTTCATTAAGATTACTCGAAAGTCCATTTTTATGACCCATATTGTTGGTAGTTGGCGGTGAGGGAACATGTTCAGAAGCTCCTTTCTTAAGGCCTGTCGAGTGCTGGCTCATCCCTTTCTTTTGTTGATTTCCTTTTTTGGCCATCTTATAAACAATTTACTCAAGCGAACGGCAAGTTAGGAATTTAGGTTAGCACTTTGCGAACGCCATAACGAGATAAGCTGTTGAAAGTATAGTGAAGAAAATTTACGAACAATGGAAATATACTATTCTACTAACAATGAAAATGATGGATATATTATTTTATTTACAACGAAAATGACTGGATACTGAATCAAATAAGCCATGGATCTGGTAAAATGCAGTGCTGAGACAAACTGAAGATTACGTAACACAACTTCCAACAAGAATATTCGGTTAACTACCGTACAAAGGCCATCTGTAACTTCTTTGATAAAAAAAAGTTGGAGGCCCTTCCCCGTAAACGACAAATAAACCCGACAAAAGGTAGACAAAGTATAAATGGCGACAAAAAAAGGAAATCAAAAGGCTCTGAATCAGAAAAGTTGGGAGGAAATGTCACCATAAGTGCATTTTGGAATTCATTCGAAGAAGACATTAAATTCTTTCATGAAGAAGATGAATACCACGTACAGTTGGCATCCGAATATAGCAACTTCATCATATCATATAAATGCCAAACACTTCATCTTTAATCTACCGCTTTCTGAATTATGTTTACGAAAGTGAAGGCAGAAAAGACTGATTAAAAATGGCTATGTTTGATCTCAACACTTGAGACCTAAAACAATTAACAAACAGATCACATGACCCAAACCAGCACCAATTATAAAGATGTTTAAATCAGACATACATGAATTAAAACACTGCAAGCAAAAACATTTATTTTCTTTCTAGAATTTGTTCGTCCCATCAAAGTAAAACAAAATCCTACAATGTGCAAGATGATACAAAGCTACTCATAGCCACAACGTTATCCATTTTTCATCTGCAATTTTGTCCCAATAACTGTGCATACCAATGAGACACAGACGGTGAAGATAAACTAGAAATTAATTACTCTGCCGAAGCACAGAACGAAAAAAAAAAAAAAAAAAAAAAAAAAAAAAAAAAAAAAAAAAAATTGAAAATAAATGAAAGAGGAATTTAATTCCTACAACCCATTTCATCTCGATAATTCACCACATGCCCCCAAAAAAATCCCAAAAAAAAGGGATATGAAGAATTCAGATAAAGCACGTGAACTAAAAATCGTCAGACCATGTAAGTAGCGCTAGAATTAAGCAAGAATTAAGCACAATAACCAAGCGGCGGAGAAAATAATAAAGGGCGAAAACTCGCTCACCGGCAAAAGATGATGAAGAGACGCAGCGATGAAACTCGTGAGTCTCGAAAAAAATGGGGAAAAAGAAAGCATCCAAATGAAAATTTTACACCAGATTGTGAGAATCAACGCAACCCATGAGCAGCAATAAAGAGATATATAATGGGCTCTCTCTCTCTCTCTCTATCTCTCTCTCTCTCTCTCTCTATCTCTCTCTCTCTCTCTCTCTCTCTCTCTCTCTCTCTCTCTCTCTCTCTCTCTCTCTCTCTCTCTCTCTCTCTCTCTCTCTCTTCTGGGAGGACGATGACAACCAGCAAATTCAGCAAGCAGCCAAAGAAGCTAACCAGCAAAAGCCAACGCTGTTCAAGGTACTGAAGATGAAACCCATACCAGGGAAGACATTTGTTGATTCTCCTATTTGCACCCCTATAATTTGACTAATATCAATTGGGCCCTGTTTGAAATTTCTATTATTATTTATTGCTATTATTATTATATTATGCACGTGATCAGTTCATTAGATAAAATAATAAATCATATTACTATATACTCAGCACGTGACAAGTTAATTAAAATATATAAATACTTATTATTATTATTATTATTCTTATTATTATTATTATTATTATTATTATTATTATTATTATTATTATATTTCAGCATAAAGTTTGGCAAAATCTACAGAATTTCTCCCCAATATTTGATATATATCTTCATTATTGTGTATTACTCCACAACTAACAAAAAAAAAGGACTAACTCAAAAATATTAATAATAAGTGATTCTAAGATTTTATAAATTTTGTTGGTCAACAAGATTACTCATTTAAACAAGAAATGAAAAAAAAAATCACAAAAAACTATTATTCATCTCGCTCTACTTTTTTATTTTTTTATAATTTCACTAAGTGAATTAAAAAAAAAAACAATAATTATTAAATATTGGACAACTTCCTCAAAAATCCCTAGCTCACTTTTCAACTTCCTCCTCAGTCCCTAGGTTATTTTTTTTACTAGGTTATTTTTTTTTCTTTTAAACTCCCTACCCCTAAAATCATCTTCCTCTTAACTCCCTATTATTTAAATAAATCAAAAATAAATTCAAAGTGACATCATCCACACTACCATTGATCTCATCTTATTATTTTATTATTTTTCTCTCTCTCTCTCTACTACTAACTTTCTTATTTTTTTATTATTTTTTCTTTCTCTCTTTTTCCACACATTTTTTATTATTTTTTAATCATCTTCTACTATTCATCTTTCCTACTACTTTTCTTCTAAATTTTTTATTATTTTTCTTTTTCTTTCTTTTCACACAATATATAGGTACTAAGTTACAACAATATTGGTATTGTCCTACTACATTGTAGGTATAATTTTTGTAAATAAATATTTACAGTATATATTCATTTTCATTCATATAAGTCTGTATTAAATGACAATATATAAGTACTGAGTTACTAAAACTCTGGTAATGTCTTATTCCAATGTAGGTATCAGTTTTGTAACTCATTAAAACAAACTATTATATATGAATCTAGTGTGATGCACGAGTAATAGATATTCATTAATATTAAAAAATTAAAAAATTTCACTAAATATATGAAATTAATATGTAATACTACCCCTATATTAATTTATTTAAAATGTCATATGAAATTTAAATTTGTGCAAAATTATATAAAATATGTGTATTTAAAATTATTACACAACTCGTATGATGTACATAACTATTAATAATTTACATTTTATGTCATTCAAATTTATGGTGTTCAAATTTATCAACTAATTTTCTATAATTAAATTATATAATTTTAATTTTATTAAAAATTATTTATTCAAAGATCTATCTAATTTTCATACATCAACTAGTACGATACATGTGTAGTACACGGGTACGTAAATATATTTGTACAATAGAAAAACTAAAATAATTTATATTTATATTGTAAAATTATGTATAATTAATATATAACAATTATGAATAACTAACAAAGTAATAATTAATTATAAATGGGGTCCGTATTTTTACACTTAATTTTTTTATTTTATTTAAAATCTATGATAAAATGCATTAAAATGATTATTTTATGGTGTAATACTGAATTAGGTTTTTATTATTCTTGTTGTAAAATAATTTATGTTGTATTCATATTGTTGAAATTATTTTTTAATAAATAGAGTTTTATTTTTTATTGATAGATGTATTTCTTTTTTATTTTATATATGCAATATGGATATCAAATTGAAGATCATTAAAATATGATTATTTTAACATACAAAAATAACATAAAAAAAAAAAATATTTAATAATAAAAAGAATACATATTTATTATAATAATTATTATATGAATTAAATAAGAAAGAGTAAGAGAAGAATATGGTAACTTGAGAAAAAAAAAAAACTAAAATACTTTGTGGTAATTCTCAAGCCTAAAACAGAACATGTATGTAGGAATATGCCTAAAATAGTGTATAAATTATCTTATGACAAGTTATTATATGAACTAGTGTTAATACCCGTGCGATGCACGGGGTGCAATAAAAAGAAATATTTTTTACTTGAATACTATAAAATTATTTAAGACAGTATGAAATTCTATTCTCCATAATATCCTATTAAGTAATAATATGACATTTATTTATTTACCATTTTCTTAAATTTATATTTTATATATTCTTTTTTGTTGTTTTTGACTAATTAATATATAAATTTTATTATTTATTAGTTTCTAAAATATCGTAAATGTAAAAAATAATATGATATTTGTATACAAATTACTTGTTTGTACTTATAAATTTACCGTTTATCATTAGTCTTATATTTTTTTAAATAATTCATAATTTACACATATTGTTTGATAACTGACCAACGTTTAACCCGTAATATTTATCTTCTGCTATAATTATTAAGTGCATTAAATGTTCAAAACTTTGATAAATAAGATTTAATTTTTAGTAACTTTAATCCTTATGCAACACATAAATTCTTATGGTTAAATATTTTATTTTTATGTTTCATTTTTATTTATATTTATTTCTTTAATTCATTTTTTTAACCTATATAATGAGTTATATATTATCTATTCAAATATTTAGATATATTATATATTTCCATAATTACCAATTGCTATACTTTATATTATTATACATTGCTTTTTTATTAACTTATTTTTTATTTATAAAATAGTATATAGTAAAAAAACATTTTTTTTTTTTAAATTGAACAGTTTTTTAAAGTGCATAGATACTTCTAAGGTGAAACTTATAATTATGAATTGCACCAACCATCAAATTTTATTTTTATTAATATATAATTTGAATTTCAATAGTATTATATGATATATTCAATGGGATGTAATTTTTTATAGTTAAATTGACTACATTTTAGAATTTTTTTATTAATATTTAAATTATTTATTAAGTTATTATGATTTAAATATAGTTATTCTTATTATTTTATTATTTTATTAAGTATTTTAAGTATTTATAAATAGTGAATATAATTAATTAGTTTAATACCTACAACCATAGATGATAATATATTTATAAGTAACAATTATTGAAAATATATCTAATAAATCTACGGTCAATGTTTCAATTTAAGCCAATTTGTAGTTAATAAGTAACAATTATTGAGTGTATAAAAATTAATTATGTTTTTCATACATAAGATTTGCTAATAAATAAATATTAATCAAATGCCAAATATAGATGAAAAAAATTTCCACCCAAAATCATGACAATTATAGCAATAAGGATTG